ATGACACACTTAGAGCTTACAGAACTCAAGAGATTGTGTGACAGTCACAGGTCCTGGGGAGGAAACTCAGTGCAAACGACAGGCTGCAATAAAAGGATTGCGGGTGCCTCGCTTGTCAGGAGGGTACTAAGCATGATAGGAGTGGCAGGAAATGAGATAAGAGAGGTAGTCACAGACATGGGAAGAGAAGATTCTAGAAGGGATGGTCAGGGTTTCAGAGTCTACCCAAGTGCAAGAAGTTGTTGGAGGATTCTGAGCCTGCATCTGTGGAACTGCTTGGTTGGCATTTTAGTCACTTCTTGCTAAGTGGGGAGAAGTTGGGGCCATGGGAGGGAAGTGCTGGAGTAATCAGGGCTCCACTGAGCAGCCTGGGGTGGAGCTGAGAGGAGAGCAAGCTAGGGTGGTGACTCTGAAAGCACTGAGGGGAAGGCAGGAGCTGGAAGTTCGAACAAACCCAGAAGATTTGCCAGTGAAATCGATCGGGAGTGTATGAAAAACGGAAGTGAAAAGCGCCCTGCAGATTGTGCCACAGAGACCGATGGAAAAATACTGTTGACATGACCTGAGCTGGGGATGGCTGGCAAGGAACCTGAGTAGTTTTTCTAAGTAGTTTTGAAATGCTTAGTGTTCTAGCGTAGTTGAATTATACTGTGAGTACGCTAGTTAACGTACTTCCTTGCTAATTGGTCAATGGCTTGAAGCCTCTTGGGTGTTGGAACTAAGGACTCAGTATCAATTAGCTAATATTTAGCCACCACTAAGCTCACAGGTTAACTGCTAAATGAAATCAATTATTTTCTAAATACACACACACACACACACACACACACACACACACACACACACACCAGCAAACTGAAAATAAGGATAGCACATGAGCAAGTTACCTTGCGCTTGTCTGGTTTAGGAATTTGTGTCTGTCAAGTAAAAGAGGGTGTTCAAGTGTGTGACCAGCTCTGGAAAACCTGAATTTGAACACAAAACTCTAACCTTTCCTTTGCAATAACTGCAGTGGGCAGCTAGGAATGGAGGATGGGGAAGGATCTTCAACCTTCATAGAAGAAAACACTTCCCTTTCCAGCAGCTCCTGTCTGTCCTTTGAACCGGTGATGGGCTTTGTTTCCATGGAAACAGAATGTATGTCTTACAGATATAACCTGCCTAGCATGAGCAGTCCTCTTAGGGTGAATCACTGTGCCTGAAATTTCCCAGCATGCAATTGGTCCTAATGTCTGGTTGGGGGCACCTGCTGGGGTCAGCTCTGACAGGCTCCGCTCAGTCACAGCAGTCTTGTCCTAGTGGTTTGGTGGGAATGGAGCTGTAACATTTAGGGCAATGCTTTCTGGACCCGCTTTGCCCTTGGGGCCAGCTTCTGGCCTCTCAGGCATGGCCTAACCTTTCACACACAAGAAAAAATGATCAATATCTTTGGAAAGCCAAACCTTGGTTATCTCCAGTTTTCCACCAACTTGAAACTTGTGTCTTGGAGCTGAAAATGTCCGGAACAAACCCAGCAAACACAGCTGTCCAGCAGCAGCCCTTGAAGTCTGATGGCTTCAAAGGACAGCCAGAGTCTCTGGGTTCTGGGAAGGAGCCCAGCCAAACACTCGATTGTTCCGTGGGTCATATTCCCTTGGAGAATCTCTTTTGATTGCTGCTATGATTGCTGCTATTTTCTTAGTGGGGAAAAAAAGAGGGGCCAGGTGAATTAAGAGAAGATGAAGGGGCCTGGTGATATGGTTCTGTGTAAGGATGGGTTTGGTGGGGGTGGCTAATGATGGGGGGTGGCTATCTAGCTGCTGAAGTCAGACCAGCTGTGCCTTGTGGTTTCATAGTTCCACCATGACCTGGCTTTGCCCTCTCTGTTCTTCTTGCCTGCGGGGGAGGGGTGGGGGTGGGAGGAGGGGGGTGTTCACCTACAGGAGAGAAGCAGAGACCACAGCAGATAGAGTAGGGGAGTCAGTAACATTGTAACATGTAGGGCACCCCCACTCAGATGAGAGGCTGACGTAGGGATGAGAGCAGTGGTTGGAATTGAAGGGACGAGAGACTGAGCAGTTAGGGTGCTGGGAAAAGATACCTGTGTACATGGAACTCACCAAGAAAAACCACTAGCAAGGGAAGTAAGTACACCAGGTACCAAATTGGGCAAGGGAACATGCAGGGGTGACTACAGTGAGGGTGGCCCCATCTTCACAGACACCTTTCTGTTCTTTCAAAGAAGGGAACTAAGGAGTCAGGAGGCCCTAAGCTATTTGCATATGGGTCAAACAGCCGCCACTTACCCTCAACCCTGCGGAAAGACCAAGAAATGGGCAATGGCCTTTGAAAAGACTACTGTAAACAAGTTAAGGACACCTTGAAGGATACTTGAAAAATATACTTCAGTTGTTTGAGGCCGAGGTAGAGGGGAGGTTCTCCATTGTTAATTGCTATTTGTGGCTTTACTTCAAAAAGGTAACGCCACATTGCAAAAAAGCAAACACTCGACAGCCCTTTTGTAGAAGCGAGGTCTCTGCAAACGCAACAGATTTATCCTACAGAAGCCACGCGGTGCATTCGCAGCTACTGAGTACCCATCTGTCCATCCTCCTCCTCAGATCGGGCGGTCTACCGAAAGGCTGCAAGCTAGAAACCAAGATTAAGCCCTGTGACTAGATGGGTTACACCCAGAGTGTTGCATGTTGTCCTACGTCCTGGTTAGCTTACTGTCGTGATGAGCATCATGACTAAAAGCAACCCAAGGAGGAAAGAGTTCATTTCGGCTCACAGGCTGTAGTCTATCATTCAGGGAAGTCAGAGCCAGTACTCAAGGCAGGCACCTGGAGACAGGAACTGAGGTAGAGGCCACAAGAGTGCTGCTTAGTGGCTTGCTCCCATGGCTTGTTCAACGTTTCTTATACAGCCCACGAGTGTACTGTCTGCCCAGGAGTGGCACCACCCACAGTGGGGTGGGCCCTCTCGCATCAATCATGAATCAAGAAAATGCCCCCACAGACTTGTCTAAAGGCCAATCTTATAGTGGCATTTTCTCAACTGAGGTTCCCACCTCTCAGATGGCTCTAGCCTGTGCCATGTTGACAAAACATTAACTATCATTCTTCTGAGAAGACACAGTCCTGTTGCTATGCCAACAAAACAGACTCAAAGCACAGTAGGCAGACGGCTACACTATGGAGGTTTGAGTGCTAGAAGCCCGGCCCCTGTGCAACCAGGATGACAGATGCTGCAATGTGTTACAGCTGGGACCTAGATGGAGGGACTTAGGTCATGGGGACCCCACCCTTAGAACAGACTAATTCCAATTGCCTGGAATGGATTGGTTCTGAGCAGAGGGAGGATATAATAGTGACTGAGCAAGGTCCCTGAATTAACTCTTGCTTCCCATGTTCCACATGATCTCTCTTTGGCAAGTTCCAACCACAACCGCAGGCCCCATGCCATGATGCAGACAGAACACTAAAGTTAAGCAGATGGGGTCACCTTTCTGCCTCCAAAACTGAGCACCCAATGAATCTGTCTTTTTTTTTTTTTTTTTTGAGCTGAGGATCGAACCCAGGGCCTTGTGCTTGCTAGGCAAGTGCTCTACCACTGAGCTAAGTTTCCAACCCCAAACTTGTCTTTATACATTTCCTAGGCCAGGTGTTCATCCTTGCAACACAAAACAGAAATGTTTGCTCCAGCATCTCCTCTAGGGGAAATGCATGAGAAGCACATGGAGGGGTGGTGGTGGTAATTATAACCAAGAAGCATGTTGGAGCTCAAATACTGCATTAGAGGCAAGCAGCTCTCACACCTAAACTGAACCTGGTCTTTCAGAAGAAAAGTTAGTTCAACAGCCACTTTGTGAGCTAACATGGTGCTAAATATAGAACAAAAATCACCGTCACAAACTTTCTTTTTTATGTGCATTGGTGTTTTGCCTGCATGTATGTCTGTGTGAGGGTGTTGGGTCCCCTGGAACTGGAGTTACCAGACACCTGTGAGCTGCCATGTGGGTGGTGGGAATTGAACCTGGGTCCTCTGGAAGAGCAGTTAGTGCTCTTAACCACTGAGTCATCTCTCCAGCCCCTGTCATGAACTCTTAAGTTTCTGTACACACGGGAAAAAAAATCAGCCGTCACTTGCCATCACTGAGGAAGTTCATGAATAAGATGCATAGGATAACACTCTTTAAATAAAATTGAGGAGGGGGCCGGGCGGTGGTGGTGCACCTTTAATCTCAGCACTTGGGAAGCAGAGCCAGGTGGATCTCTGTGAGTTCGAGGCCAGCCTGGTCTACAGAGCAAGATCCAGGACAGGCTCCAAAACTTCACAGAGAAACCCTGTCTTGAAAAACCAAAAACCAAAGAAAAAACAACAACAACAACAAAAACCCCACAAACAAAAAGTATTGCCTTACTTTGGCAGATGTGAGGGCATCATGGCTCCATGAGCATTAACTTGGTATGGACTGACAAGGAAGGGCCATGTCCTCTCCATGCTGTCAGCACTGGCTCCCCGTACAGTCCTGATGGAGCAGCTTAGCCCCATCACTTGCCTTTCCTCAGTACTAGAGAGCACACATCTTGAGAAAGACTTATGGGACTCTATTTTTAAACTCTCAAGCCAGGTATTTTGGCACATCATCATCATCATCATCATCATCATCATCATCATCATCATCTCAGAACTGTGGAGGTGAAGGTAGGGGGATCAGGAATCCAAGGCCAGCTTCATCTATATAGAAAGTTCCGAGGTCAGCCTGGGCTATGTGATAATCTCGTTTAAAAGTCAACTGTGGGGCTGGAGAGATGGCTCAGAGGTTAAGAGCACTGCTTGCTCTTCCAAAGGTCCTGAGTTCAATTCCCAGCAACCACATGGTGGCTCACAACCATCTGTGATGAGATCTGGTGCCCTCTTCTGGCCTGCAGGGATACGTGCAGACAGAACACTGTATACATAATAAATAAATAAATCTTTAAAAAAAAAAAAAAAAAGTAACTGTGGATGGGCAAGGTAGCTCTGTGGGTAAAAGCACTTGCCTCAAAAGCCTCCCAGATCCCATCATGATCTCACTCTCCCAAGTTATCCTCCGGTGTTCAAATGAATCACAGCATGTGTTCACAAGCACCACACTTAAATATAAGACTGAAGTTAGAAAGACGCTGAGCAGTTTGCAGGAGGCGGGGAGCCTTAGTTCAGTTCCCAGCACCACGTGGTTCGGCTCACAACTGCCTGGAACTCCAGCTCCCAGGGAATCCAAGACACTGCTGGCCTCTGGCCTCCAAGAGCATCTGCACTCCTGTGTACACACCCACACACATAACTTTTCTAAATCAAAAACTCAATAAATATCTCTAATTCCTCCTAATGAATGAAAATACTGTGGCCACTCAGTTGGAGACCCATCCACAAAATTTAAATAGACACAAGTCTTTCCAAGTTAACTTTTAAAAAATCACAGTATTTTAAAGCCATGCATGGTGGCCAAATCCCTAATCTCAGCACTCTGAAGGCAGAGGCAGGGAGATCTCTGAGTTCGAGGCCAACCTGGTCTACATAATGAGTCTGCCTCACAAAACAAGACAACACCCATAGCGTTTTCACAGCAGCACCAATTTCCCCAAGATTTTAGTTTGTATGATAGAAAAAAAAAAGCATTCACACAAATCGATCCTGCTCACCCTCATTCAATGAGCAAGCTTCTCAACTCAGTCATCTGTGAATCCCTCCGATGACACCACGTTTATGCCACAGTACCCAAGCATTTGCTGAGTGTCTTTTACACTGTTAGTTTGTTCGAATGTGGTAATTAACGAAAGAAACACCAATGCAAAACATTTTAATAAGTTGCCGAATATACAGTTATTAGAATTATCTAAATATCACTTATAAAAATTGGTATATCACATTAAATGATTCTAGAAACACAGTGATGACCCCTGCACTCCAAGAATATCCTGTCAATGTACAAATTACAAACACTGAAAAAGAAAACTGGAGACATTTAGAACATTTACACCCAAGTACAGCAATACATTCATTCATCAAGTATGGGGGGGTTGGCACTGTTGCCTGTAGTTACCGTGGACACAATTTGGGTGCAATTTTCCATAATTTTGTACATCTTCCAGTAAAGATCCCACAGCAAAGTGTCCGTGTGTGCCTTTCCCCTTCTCGACAGGGAATCACAAACCCTACCTTCAATAATGAAACTGTTAATCCTGTATGTGGACACTGGGCCAAAGTTTAATCACAATGATACATTTTTAAAAATTAAAAAAAAAAAAAAAACCTCTTTCATACTGACTTAATGGCAGGAATCGTGGCAGCTCTTAACAGAAGTTGGCCAACGAGTTGGAAGACTTTCAGTATTGCCAGCAAAGATGTGGACTCCTCCTCCAAATATCAGTATTTTATGTTATAATGTGATTACTCAGAAGTGAAGGAGTAACTTCATATCCACTGACAAATCTGAAATACTGGCGATTTAAATCTGAGGTCTGAAACGTTCGCACTAGTAAGGGCTGACCACAGTGACGCTATGCTAATACTGTTCCAGAGGTGAAGCTAAGCATACCTTTACGAGCACAAGTGGAACTGAACGTTGTTTTACCTTGTCTATAACTGCCACCCAGACGGAGAGTCAACTGGAGGCGACAATTCTGCACATCTGACCTCACCTCACTTTCACTTGGTCTCAGCCCAAAAGTCAAAAATTATCTGCCTTATTTGTTAACTCCATACTTAACCATTTAATCTTTACGCAAACACTCTCCTTAACAGCTTTAAATGCAGGTGTCTGTAGATCTGTGGGAAAGAAGTCCCTAGCAGTCACTTCACCTAGACAGGATGCTGGGAATGGTTAGTCTTGACTGGTTCACAGTCGTACACTGGAGAGGGGCTGAAAATGCTCGACATGGTGCATGCTTGGTAAAGGAATCTGGGCGAACCACCCTAAGGATAACCGCATTCTAAAAAGGACTGGATGTTTCTGGGCAATTAAACCATTTTAGGGGGAAGAGAAAGGACAACTGCAGCTACAAATATACAAAACTCAAGGTCAAGGGTCTGGAAGATAAGGACAGCAGCGTGAACAGCCGTTTAAACATCAGCCCTCAAGTGGAGTGGTACTAACAGTCGGCCATTCAAAGGCCGGCCTCAGCGCCTGTCCATTTCACAGTTCAGCAACTCCCTCCTGCCTACACATTCCAAATTCAAAACTCAACGAGAAGACTGCAACCGAATTATGGAAATTCATTTTCCCCCAAATGTGATAAACTTGATAGTTCCTAGGCCTGGTGGGAAGAGCATTGCCACGGAGATCACAAACCACTAAATTACAGGACATCAACATTCAGAAAATAGTTATTAGTCAGTTGAGCAGCCTGCAAGGCCACGGTAGCAACCTGTAGTATGGACAGGCAGAGTGCACAAGCCCCCTTCAGACACACAAAGCAATTTAATGGCTATTACAGCCACTGACACACATTTTCAAAACTCTCTCGAAAGACGACTTAAATATTTAACAATTATAATTTATGTAACTTCCATCCATATTAAAATAATTAATGTAAATACTTTATTATAAAACTATTTTACAATTTAAACTTTTATTTGAGAAACGTATTCACATCCACAATTTCTTAAAAGTCCTTTTCATGAGAGTGCATCCCATAAGAAATACACTAAAATCATGTTGGGGGAAGGGGCCAGCATTGCCATCAGTCCGAACCGTCTCCTCGTTTGCTTAGTTCTTAAACATCTGTGTGTTCACATATGCTTGGCTAGTGATGGACGCCTCATCCCCAAAGTGGCAAATCTCAGCATCATCTTACAAGACAGGACAGACCAGAAAACGCCACAGGTTGGTTACATACACACGTTGATCACGTCATCAAAAGCATAATCAAAAAGTAACATAAAGTGGGCAACAGTGTTAAAATGTAAACAAGAAGAATTGAGTATTAATCCCTTCCCTGAAAAGCAGAGATAAGAATCGCTTCCTGTTTTATTCAGACAAAACCTAGTCATCAGGAAGGCAGGATGCTGGCTTCCAAAATGCTTCAAAGAGCTGTAGATGAAGGACTTTACTGAGCGACCGTGTGCCCAAAGCTTTGAGTACTTGAGTTGACTTATTCATCGCACACAGTTTGACATCATCCCAAACTGCCTCTTAAGATTCAAAATAGTGTTCATCAGATGAGCTTGAGAGTTACTGAATCACACCCAGGAACAAAAGTCAATATTGTAAGAAAAAAGGTAAAACTCCAAGTTTTCTAAGAATTATCGGTAGAAACTCACTCCCACAAAATGAAAGAAGCAAAACCATCTCTAGTCAGTACACACTTGGGCAGAGAACATGGAGTCCTTGTGGAGGAGACTTGGAGCCTCCTGAGTGAAAACTCACGAAACGCACATGCCCGAGGCACGCTGGCTAATGACCCATTTATTCCTGGCTCACGTTTGGGCGTGGGCTTTTGCAAAACTACCCTGTGATGGGGTCAGGAGAGTAAGATAAACTTAAAATTCCCTCCACGTTCAAGAAAATGGTTCTGGGGTATAACAGTTTCATTTGTAATTCTGAAGGAAAATGGGGTTTTTAAAAAAGGTAAAGTCACAGCCGGGCGGTGGTGGCGCACGCCTTTAATCCCAGCACTCGGGAGGCAGAGCCAGGCGGATCTCTGTGAGTTCGAGGCCAGCCTGGTCTCCAAAGCGAGTTCCAGGAAAGGCGCAAAGCTACACAGAGAAACCCTGTCTCGAAAAACCAAAAAAAAAAAAAAAAGGTAAAGTCACAACTCAAAAATATTTTTCAGAAACGTCAAGCTGTTCAATTATTGTAATACACCGGTAAGTCAAAGTGCAAGCCATTATTACAGTATTGACAGCAAAAGGATTTGAGAGTTTAATTTCAATTTTACTGATAAATAACTAGTTAATTTGAAAAGGGTGGTAGCTGTAAAATAAACATAACACTTATAAATCTATTTCTTCAAGGAAAATCTTCCTGCCCTCGTTCTGAGTGAAATTAAACTATGATATCTCTGTTAGATGCCACGGACGGGAAACCTACACAGGATTCCGATCTACACCAGGAACGGCATTCTGTCACTGCTTAACCAGATTCTGAGAAATGTGTTTATGCTAAGGCTCGAAAGTAAATAGGGATACATTTAAAAAAAAAAATAGATTTTTTTTAAATGGAAAAGGGTCTCAAAAATTGTTTAAAGAAGAAACAAAACTAAGTTTCCACCATGCACCTTTCCAAAGCCTCAGAATGGTAATAAAAAGCATCGCACTTTTCACAACCGAGTAAATGAAGACTTTTCCAAAAATGAAATCCTTGAGGGAAAAAAAAAAAGTAATTTGTTCTTTACAAATAGCCTCTCTTCTCCTGACCCTAGGGAGGAAAAATTTGTGCTATTAATTCCAAGACTGTTGCCAGCCAGTGCCTCACTCACCTTTCCCATGAGGCACAGCGCAGAGCACAGAGAAGGAACTGCAGGGGACCCCGCAGGGAACCCCAAGGGTGGACCACGCCGGGTTAAGCACCTTTCATCCACTGCTCTCTGTTTTTTTTTTTGTTTGTTTGTTTTTTGTTTTGTTTTTCGAGACAGGGTTTCTCTGTGTAGCTTTGGAGCCTGTCCTGGAACTCGCTCTGTAGACCAGGCTGGCCTAGAACTCAGAGATCCAACTGCCTCTGCCTCCTGAGGATTAAAGGCGTGCACCACCACCACCCAGCCCTGCTCTCTGCTTTTAACATGGAGCCCACACAACCTCATCTCCGTGTCAAATGTTCTCCAGTTTTAGGGAGCTCGGGCACACTGGTCCTGATGAACACAACCTGCGTTTTCTAGATCTTAAGGTGGTCTGGCAATGTCATAGTTTAGATACAGCTCACCGGCAAGGCTGAGTGGACAGAGATTCCATGGTGACTGGCTACAGAAAGCTACATGAACTCTGAATGGCTGAGTAATGGTTTGCAAACATGTTACAGCTATTTACTCCCTGTCCCACACATTCCCTGCTCGACATTCCTGTTTCTTTATTCTTCATAGTTTTCTAATGAACAAATTAGTATTCCTGAGTAAGAATATAAAAAAGTTAACCTTCTACCAAAAGTATAAAGACAAATAAAACGTTGACTCACAATACAAACTTTTTACAGAGCATTACAGGGGCCCAGCTGATGCCTGCGGCTCTCCACGGTGATCGGCCCACTCCTTCACAGACTGCAGCGAGACTCAACTGTCTAAAATACTCCGAAGGACAGCAACTAGATGCTTCAGACCGTAAACATACCCCTCATCGACTGTGTTGCTAGGGAACACGTGGGCAAAGTCTATCATCCGCACTTCTACATCTGTGATCTCCTGGCGCCCTGCAGGAAGGTGATAGAACACCTTTTCCAGTTGGGAGAGTACGTTTCCGTTTAAGTGTTCCTGGGACATGCTTTTCCACCCGTTGTCTTGCTCCAGAGTTTCCACTTTCAGTGAAGTCTGACTGTGGTGCTTTTTTGAGTACAGCTTTCTGTGCCTGGCGTACACCTTGGATAAGCTTTTGCCTACTGATGTCCCATTGGCCGGGGAGCTGAACAGGTGAAAGTTGTTATTGCACTCCAGGACGTCTGCGTCTGACAGGTGGCCTTTGGAGAGAAACTTCCCCGCCAAAGTTCTATCGTTTGATTTTGTAGTAGCTGGCTGAGATGAACCTTCATAAACAAACAGTAATGAGCTGGCATAAAAGTTAAGCTGCTTCTGATTTTCAAACCACTGGAGAATCTTCTCAACCTTCTGAATACTGGCAGCAACTGCGTCTTTTCTTAAACAGAAGCCATTGTGGAAAAACTTGGAGACACCTGTAAAGGAAACACATCAGAGTTAGGGTCAATCCGTGAAGCTGTCACTTGGAGAGTGAGCTCATGGCAAATAAGATTCTTGACTTGGTGACAACATGCCTTCCAGCTAATCAAATCATTAATTCCACAGTGACTGACACATAGAAACACAGACCAGAATGCTCTAATGAAGAACTCTACTCTTGATATAAATGGCATTGATATTGAAAAGGAGCTCTAAGGCCTGGGGTGCAGGCCTGTGCCAGCAAGACGGCTGAGGCAGGAAGATTACACGTTCCAGGCCTGCCTGGGCCACAGTGAGCACAGGCTAGCCTGGGGAACCTGGTGAGTCTTGGACTCAAAACAAAAATCGAGGAGATGGCTGGTGATGTACATTGTGATAGAGCACCTGCCTAGTGTATGCTGGAAAAGGGGAGAGGAACTGATGGAGATGAGGAAGGAGATTATTAACCCTCTTTTTAAACTACACCTTAATTGGGCTGAACAAATGGTTGGTATACCACAAGAGCACTGGCTGCTCTTCTAGAGGACTCAGGTTCAAGTCCCAGTACCCACACAGGGCTCCCAAGCATCTATAACTCCAGTCCCAGGGGATCCGATTCCTCTTCTGGCCTCCATGGGCAGCAGGCAGGCATCCATAAGGTACATTTACATATATACGGGAAGAAAATCCATACATATAAAATAAAAAATAAACCTTCAAAAAAAAAGGGCTACACCTTAATATACTGAATCATACTTGGGATTGTACAGGTTAGGCAAGTTGCTTTTATGTAACTTGTTCCCCCACTATGAGGCACAAACTTAAGAAAGGAAGTCAATTATCAGGAAAATGCAAATCAAAACTACTTTGAGACTTGATCTTACACCAATCGAAATGCCAAGATCAACAGAACAAGCGACTGCTCATGCTGTCGAGGGTGTGGAAGAAAGGGAACACTCATCTATTGCTGGTGGGAGTGCAAGCAGATACAGCTGCTATGGAAATCAGTGTGGTGTTTCCTCAGGAAGCTGGGAACAGACCTACCCAAGATCCCGCTAGACCATTCTTGGGCATATACCCAAAGAATGCTTCATCCTACCAAAGAGAGACACTTGCTCACCCATGTTCATTGCTGCTCAATTCATAACAGCCAGCAATTGGAAACAACCTAAAGGTCTGTCAAGATGAATGGATAAAGAAAATGTGGTAAATTACAAAATGGAGTATTACTCAGCTGTTTGAACAAAAAATAAAATCATTAAATTTGCAGGTAAATAGATGGAGCTAGGGGAAAAAAAAAATCATCTTCAGTAAGGTAACCCAGACCCAAAAGACAAATATGGTGTGCATTCATTTATATGTAGATGTTAGCTGTTAAGGCTTCAATAAGCAGCCTGCAATCCATATAACCACAGAGGTTAGGTGTACAGTAAGGGACTAGGAAGGAGGTTGGATCATCCTAGGGAGGGGAAAGAGGATAGTTATGGATTAGGGGTATAGTGCTTTGAATGAGAATGGCCTCCATAAGTTCATAGATTTGAATGCTTGGTTACCAGGGCATGGTACTAATTGAAAGAATTAGGAAGTGTGACCTTGTTAGAGTAGGTGCAGCCCTGTCGGAGGAAATGTGTCACTGGGGGTGGGCTTTGAGGTTTCAAGAGCCCAAGCCAGGCCCCTGGCACTCTCTTCCTGATGCCTTCAGATCTGGAGGTAGAACTTTCAGCTACCATGTCTGCCTGCATACTGCCATGCTCCTCATCCTGATGATCATGGCCCAAACCTCTGAAACTGTTAGCGAGTCCTAAATGCTTTCTTCATAAGAGTTGCCATGGTCATGGTGTCTCTTCACAGCAATAGAACAGTGACTAAGACAGGGTGAATGGAACAGAAGAATCAAATGGGGAGGAGGGAAGAGAGGGTGAGGGAGGAAATATGGGAAGGAACAGCTAAAATTAAGGGCCATTTGAAGGGTTGTATGGAAACCTAATACAACAGAAGCTTCCTAAAATATATACATATTATGAAGGTGATCTAAATGGAATCGCCAAATAATGGGGAGACAGAGCCCCAGATGGACATCTCTCATCACCAAATAAAGCATCTTGTCGAAGGAATGGATTACATCTAATGGAGTTGTTGACCAAAGGGAGCCCCATGGGAACCCCCAAGCAACCAGGCTGTTGCCAAGGTTATTGGTTGCTACCCACAAACTGATGCTAAGGACCAATTGTTGAAGTACCTACACAAGTCAATGAACATGGAAAAGTCAAGCTGGTCCCTACCTAGAGCCTTCATCATTAATGACTAGTGCTCATGGTATAGAAAGGTACTCTGCACACTACCAAAGGTGATGGTAAACACCAACCCAGTACAAACCCTTAGATCTATAAGAGTGGTCTACCTGCAAGATGCACTACTGCAGTAGTGGCACAAAGTTATGGGACTAACCAACTAATATCAGATTTAAGTTAAGGAGGCCCACTCCACGAGATGGAACCCATCCCCAGCACTGCTCAGGTGGCCAAAAACCAAAGACCAGATAGGCCAGGCATGTAGGGGAAAACCAAATCCTACTGTTCTGCTAGAACAGAATTGAAGTGATAAAATGATACCTAGTGACATTTTGCTATACCCATGTATCAGTGTCTCTCTCAGCCATCATCAGAGATGCTTTCTCCTGCAGTAGATGGGAACTAATGCAGAGACCCACAGCCAGACAATGTGCAGAGAGTGAATGACCTTGGAACACTCAGTCCTAAATGGGAGGTCTCCATCAATCCCCTCCCCTCATGTATCAGGGAACTCTGTAGAAGAGGAGGAGGAGGAAAGAGTGTGTCAGTGGGGATGGTAGATGCCAAAGAAACAAGGCCTTCTAAATACAGCAGGACCAGCACACATATGAACTCACAGAAACTGTGGCAGCATACACAGGGACTGTACAGGTCTGGGCCTGATGGGGGTTCCAGCGTGGACATAAGCCCCCATCTCTAACACAAACGCAATCTCCAATTGATAATTGTTCTCAAAAGAAAAATCAAGTTTTCTCCAATGGAGTCTCACTAGATATACAAACAACTCTTAAGGCCAGACCCTACGTCCAGCAGTAGATGGCTGACAGAAAACAAATGCAGTGGCATTTTATCTAATTTTACTTTATTTCTTCCTTTTCTTTCTTCCTTCCTTTTTTTTTTTTCTTCTTTTGAGATGGGGTTTCTCTATGTAGCCCTGGCTGTCCTGGAACTCATTCTGTATAGACCAGGCTGGCCCCGAACTCAAAAATCCACCTGCCTCTGCCTCCCGAGTGCTAGAATTAAAGGTGTGCACTACCACCACCAGTCTATTATTAATTTTAGATGCCTGTTTGTATCCTAATGAGAAAAAGAAAAGGTGTGAATTTAGGTAGGTGAGAAAGTGGAGAGGATCAAGGAGGAGTTGGGGGAGGGGAAATCATAATCAGAATATACTGAATTAAAAAAACCAAAACCTATTTTCAATTAAAAAAAGAAAGGAAGGAAGGAAATCAGATAGGACCAAACTACAGCCCAGAAAAAAAAAAAAAAACTATATATTTTTTAAATAGTCAAATTAAGTACTAGCTTGCTTTGGTTAAGTATGTCAAAACAGTAACTAACCATTAAACTACACTGAAGATGTGTTTTCTGTATGTAACACTCGTATGCTCCCACAAGCTCTACATTACAAGTCAACTTTTCATAGAGCTAAGAATCACTGTCTTAGGGTTTCTATTGCTGTGAAGAGACACCATGACCACAATTCTTATAAAGGAAAACATTTAATTGAGATGGTGGCTTACAGTTCCAGAGGTTTAGACTATTAGCATCATGGCAGGGAGCATGGCAGCTATGAGTACAGCAGTGTGCAGGCAGACGTGGTGCTGGAGCTGAGAGTCCAACATCTTGACCCAAAGGCAACAGGAAGTGAACTGACTCACTGGGTGTGGCTTGAGCATATATGAGACTTCAAAGCCCACCTCAAAAATAACACATTTCCTCCAATAAAACCACACCTACCCCAACAAGGCCACAATTCCTAGTAGTGCCACTCCCTTTGGGGGCCATTTTCTTTCAAACAACCACAATCACCTAATGCAAAATTATTTTTAAAAGACAGATGTCGGGGCTGGAGAGATGGCTCAGAGGTTAAGAGCACTGGCTGCTCTTCCAGAGGTCCTGAGTTCAATTCCCAGCAACCATATGGTGGCTCACAACCATCTGTAATGAGATCTGGTGCCCTCTTCTGGCCTGCAGGCATACATGCAGGCAGGACACTATATACATAATAAATAAATAAATCTTAAAAAAAAAAAAAAAAAAAAAAAGACAGATGTCCTTTTGTGATGTCCAGATCACCAGAATTTTACAGAAGCACATATGTTAATGGTTTATAAAGCCAATACCACCTGCTTATTCATCAATAACCTTAGAAGTGGCAAAGCTACACAGAGGGAAGGAAGCTACAAAAAGACACTCGACACAAAACCACACCTTAAAGTCTCCTGCATAATGAGCACTTTAAATACAATTTATACTCAATACATTTTGTTAATCTATAATTTAATCCCACAATTGCTGGGATTAAAGGTATGAGCCACCCAGCCCAGGAGAATATGATTGGAAAGCTTTGATGCTGAGGTGGGCAATGGTGTTCAGCTGTTTGTACTTCAGGAGTGCACACTGCTACAGGACAGCTCAGTGAGAGCTCTGAGACCCCATGTTGAATACATGGTATGAGGCATCTGAGGATTTTGAGAGGTGGGCTCATAGTACACAGGCCATTTAGTGGCCTCCCTGCCTCCTGGTCACCAGAGAACAGAACACATTTGCTCCCCACGGCTCCTCCAATGCTGTGCCCAATGTAAAGAATCCACACACTGAAACTGAACCAGAATAAAGGCTTCTTCCTGGACGGACCTCATCACAGCAGTCGGAAGCAAGTGGGCCGGCAAGCTTACCAGTGGGACACTAACCAAAGTGTAAAAGGAAGGGGGCACTCACAACCCACACTTGGGTATACTAGGGTGCACGGATAATGGTAAACCTACTTCTGTCTATTGAGGTTTCTTTTTCCTTAAAGTTTATGAGTTGAATCGTTGTTCCGCAGGAGAATGAAAACAAATGTGATCGGAACCATCTCGCTGACTGCAGTAGCAAAGCATTCATGGTGGGTGCTCACCTTCCTTTAGCGTCTCTTTTGTTAGGCTCCTTCCATAGTGCTGGTTTTGTGTCTCATAGCTGTCAGAATGAACATGGTAAACCTGTCAAAATAAAGGAGCAGTGAACAGTCAAACAGTAATACGGGGGCCCTTGGCCATGTGGGGTCATTTCACCACTCGTTACACGATCCCTCGCACAGACGTGAAAGAGCACCTAGCATTCAGGCGCCCCACTTCTGAAAACCTGCTAAGAGTAACAGATTTTCGACACGACAGAATTATCTGTTTCAATCCATCAAAATTATTCACAAATTTACAGGGCCAAGATGAGAGCATTTCTTTTTTTTGTTTTGTTTTGGTTTTGGTTTTTTTTGTTTTTGGTTTTTTCGAGACAGGGTTTCTCTGTGTAGCTTTGCGCCTTTCCTGGAACTCACCTGGTAGCCCAGGCTGGCCTCGAACTCACAGAGATCCGCCTGGCTCTGCCTCCCGAGTGCTGGGATTAAAGGCGTTCATCACCACCGCCTGGCTTGAGAGCATTTCTTAATATTGCAAGCTTAGCTGAGTTTAGCAACACATGCCTCAACACTTGGGAGTAGAAGCGGAAGGTCAGGAGTTCAAGGTCATCCTTGGCTACACAGCAAGTTTAAAGCAATGGACTACATGAAACTCTGCCACAGAAATAGAAGTTCAAGTGGAGAGGAGCTGGAATATAACAGCAATACTCCCTTCCCCCCCATGCAAACAGCCCTGGGCTCACTCTCCAGCACCAATAAAAAGCAGGTGTGGTTGCACACGCCTGTAATATCAGCACTCATAGGAGATAGAGGCAAGAGGATTGGAAGTTCAAGGTGAGTTCACCCACACAACAAAGATGCCAGGCTTAGCTACACGAGATGGTGTCCTCAAAACACAAAAACAAAGGCTGGAGAGATGGCTCAGAGGTTAAGAGCACTGGCTGTTCTTCCAGGGGTCCTGAGTTCAATTCCCAGCAACTATATGGTGGCTCACAACCATCTACTGATGCCCTCTGCTGGCATGCAGGCATGCACACAGACAGAACACTACATATAATAAATAAATTTAAAAAAAAAAAAAAGCTTCCAAAAAATGTGTTCTTACTACAATGTCTTTTATTATTATTTCCATCTAAAATTGAATTCTAGAGTCAGGTGGGTGGTGGTGGTGGCGCCAGTTTAGGGGAAGCAGAGGCAGGAGGATCTCTGCGCCCCAGCCTGGTCTACAGAGAGAAACCCTGTCTCGAAAAACAAAACAAAAAAAGAAGTAGCCATGAAAATAATTGTATGGTTGGGCGTCACCACAACATGAGGAACTGTATTACAGGGTTGCAGCTTTAGGAAGGTTGAGAACCACTGGTCTAAGACATTGCCAAGTGCCTGGCCGGGAGCAAAGCTCGCCTAGCTGAAGACTGATGCTCAACACAATGCAGACTGCCTCAGCCACCAAAGCTGTAGACTCCCATAAGCCAGCACTCCACCTCACAGACTGTGCCAGGACACCCTGCACAGTGGCGGAGCGAGGCAGACCCATGGCTCACTGTGACATGGTGGGTAATCGCAAAGCCTGAAAACCATCACGGAGCCACCAAAAGGAGCATGCGTGTTCGATTATAGTATGATAATACGAGCCACCGAGACCTCAGGATAGGTTAAACAGGAAAAAGAGAAGACGCAGGCATTTTGTGACTAACGAGAGAGCTATGTCACAGCAATGAAATGACTTTACACAGGAAAGGAACTGCTTTGGTTTTCAAGGGGAGACAGCTCAATCGGCAACTCACCAGCCTAGCATGGTAAGCATGGGGTTTCTTGACACAAACAACAACAAAAGCCCACAACAGGTAGAAGTTGAAGAATCATGAGAATCAATAGTGGAAGGTTTTGGAGAGCTGGGAGGGAAGGAAAAGCAGGGGACAGAGGAGAAAGCTCCTTTTAGACTGAGCGCTCCATCCTAAGAGAAGGTAAGAAAAGACCACAGAGCACGTGTGGGGTCCAAGAGAACGCTGTATGTGAGCCCTGGGGACCAAACAAGTTGTCACACTTTCACAGCAAGCTCCTTTATCCAGTGAGCCATTCTGCAGGTCCCTTTTTGTCTTTTCTTATAGGCTCCTGTTCATTATAGTTTTCTGAAGTGAAAAACCGCTTGAACAATTCTTCGGCTTTATTGATCAAGACATCAAGTCCAACATGGGGTTTAACTTTGCTGTCGTCACTGGCATGGTAGTGATCTCCCACAAAGCTTCCTCTGAATGCCCAGAAGGAAGCTCATCTGTCACTTGACCGCGCTTACGAGCTGCAATCATCGGGCACATCTAGACACACTGGTTTAGAGGATCACGTGCCACATTACTTCCCAGCTGTGGTTTCAATAATCCTTCCTTCCCATCATACGCATTCTGGTATTTGTGTTGCGACATCGGAGGTGGGAAGCGACCATGTGACAGCCCTCCAGAATGACAGCAAGTCTTTCCTGTCTCTCAGGCTTGTGGTCTAGCCCTTCAGAATGTGGTCTCAGGGCACAGATGCTCAAGTTAACCTTCTGCCAGATGGCATATGGACAAAAGGTCCAGACCACGAGAGACCCAAGCAGCCCCAGCCACCAGATGACACCAACCTCGTATCTATTCTGAGGTGAACAGAATGTTCACATATCAAAGCATAAATATGAGATTCTTATGTATCAGATAAAATAAAAAAATTTAAATACTAAGTCATAGAACTATGTGCAAATAAAAACTGTTTTAAATAAAAATATGAAATAATGTGGGCTCTTTTGCTATTTGAAAAATAGTTCTTTTCCACAGCACCTGGGAGGCAGAGGCAGGTAAATCTCTAAACTCAAGGCCAGCCTGGTCTACAAAGCAAGTTACAGGACAGTCAGGGCCACACAGTGATACCCTGTTTCAAAAAAAGACAAAAAGTATAAAAATAGTTCTTTTCTTATAGGAAAGCTACAATGAATATGTAGCTTTTAATATTTATTGTGCAGTTAAGCTTAAAATGTCTTTAAAACAGAATCACCAGCATTACCATCTTTGGGTCTGGTCATTGTGTATTAATTACCTACTAGGTGTCAGGACCGGTGTCACAGACCACAGACCAGTGAAAGACAGATAAAAATTCTGCCCTCGTAGCTCACAGGCCTCCTGGACGACCCACCGGCACAGGGCCCTCATTCTTCTCTACCAGCACTGAGGTAGCACGAGTGGTGTGTAAGGGGAGCACACACGCCTCACCAAAACCATTCTTACCCTCATGCCGAGCACCAGGAACCCGATCTCCTCCATCAGAGGGTACTTGCTGACCTGCTGCTGGATTTTCTCTGACGAGGCAAAGGGATCATAGCTCTTCCGCCCTATCTTCACATCCATTATGCAGGGCTTATTAAACTTATGAGTCACATCTTCCAGTTTTAGGTATACATCTGTTATTGGAGAAAAACCGTAATTAGCCACAGGCAATCCTATCAGTCAAATAACCTCCAGAGGAAAACAAAGAGGAAACGCTGGCAGAGAGCAGACTTAAGGTAAATCTAGAGTCAACAGATTCGTGAACAAGCATAAACATCAGAGAACTGCCTCCCATGTGTGACCGCAAACGTCACCGGAGCAAAGCGAATGTGCAGCGCTACAAAGCTATGGGAAGGAACTCCATCCCCTGTGAACACAACGCCACCCGGGCTCACAACGAGACTTCTTAGGATTTAAGAATTTCGTGGTTTGTTCTTCATGTGACATCAGTAAGCTGGGGACTGAATCCAAATGACACCACCAAATTCCCTCTCGCCACTTTCAAACGCACTGTTGCTCTGTCTGTCACTCACTTCAGCCCCCCTCCCCCCCACATCTGCCCACAGAAGATTGGCTGTCACACCACAAAAGCCCCTTCTTGCAGTTTACCTTGAAAGCAAGGACCCAAGAGCAAAGAGAGAAAGGAGAGAAGAAATAATTCTCCCTCTTTCTAAGGAAAACAATCCTGTCAAAATTCTCAATGAAATCATGATTCATGTTTTCGTTCTCGGGGCTGAGGAGATGGATGAGTGGGTACACTGCGTACAAGCACCAGGAGTGAAGTGAGTGAGCATCCCCAGAACCCACGTAAAACAAATACGTGGACAAATAACCTGCACCAAGCCCTCCTACAGAGAGATGGGAGGCAGAGGTAAGATCCTGGGGAACTTGCCTCTGGCGTAGACAACAGCCCATAGGGGATCCTGTCCTAAACAAGGTGGAAGGTGACAGCCAACACCCAAGGTTGTCCTCTGATTGCTACATGTGTGCCATGGCTCATACATGTGCATGCATGCAAAATGTATGTGTGCACACACATAGTAGAGTTAGAGAAAGTTTGTGTTTCCTCTAAACCAGGTAAAGGGCACCAGAGTAAGAGAAGCCCTGTGCTCTAACTAATGTCCCTCTTTCCTGTCCCACCCAGACTGGCACAGTTTTGAAATTACGACAAAGATATTTGTGTGGAACCAAATGAGAACTCAGACTTAACAGGGATAAACCTTCTGCAGAGGATGAGGATAAAGAGGTAAACGGTATCCCTTGATCAAGCAGGGCAGGCAGGTTAGCACTGTGTCAGCGGGACAGCAGCCTGGAAGAGCAGTCAAGCAGTCTAGGAGCCTGAACCTGAAACAAGTCGCCCAGGCACCTCAACAACAGGCCTGGACACAGCCACAGCACAGGCCCAAACAGCAAAGGACAAGTGGACACAGCCAAGTTTCTGTGTTTGAAAAGGCAACTCCAGGATGGGGAATCTGGGAGAGGATAGCTTCCCCTTACTGCAGTGTTGAAGAGTGTCAATGACAAGGCTCACATCCCAAGTACAGTAAAGACGAAAGGCCTTAACAGGGGAGATACCCGGCATCACAGCCATTAACTTGGAGACGACATCAGAGTCACACTGAGGTAAGGCTGGGTATGAGTGCGTACTGTCAGTCGGGAGGCCTGCACACATCTCAATGGAAGGCTGTTTTCTATGTGTCAAATGTGCATTTTCATTTGTACCTTTTCTTCAAAGCTGTAAAAACTAAACATCAAAACCTGCTTTAGGCATGCAGAGTTCTAGGCCTCTGGGGATGGGGATACGTGCCTGTCATCTCAGCACTCAGGAGACTAAAGCAGGAGCACTGTAGAGCAAAGACCAGCCGGGGCATCGTGGCTATCAGGCCAGCCCTGGGTACACTGCCAGCACTTGTCCCAGAACACACAAAAAGGAAGGAACACGAGTGTTCTTAGGAGAGAACTGGTGCTGTGGAGCGAGCGGCTTAACACAGGCTTTTGAAAGAGAGAAGTAAGAAAGCGGGCCACGACCCGAGTGCCAGCCTGTGAGACTGACAGTTGTCTTGTCTGTAAACCTGAATACGGGCTCACTTTGAAAAGACGTTACCGGCAAATGCTTTCAGTGGTGTGCGTAGAATAAAGCGCAAGTCAAAGTAGGTCAGTCTTGAACTCGGTTATGTAAAGATCAAAGGTGTGTCTACAGGACTGTCTCCTGAGGCAACGGCAAACCAATAACAAAAGATGTCTCCTCGTGGAGGCCCCTCTGGGTCCAGAGTGGAGCGCTGTTTTCCCATGGGTCAGTTGCAGCTGCGCATTGAATGGGAAGAGGAAGAGATTCCTGACATCTAGGAAGTACGGAGGTGGGGCTGGTTTCCAGCTGAGGTGTGTCTCAAACGTTACGGTGTGTCACGGTGCAGACCTCAGAGGTGCTCCTGTCACAGTCGGGAACCCAGCCCCCAACCACAGTCACCGCAACAGGCAAACCTCTGACACAGCTTGGAACTGGGCTTTCAGAGGTAACCTGCTTGGGACAGTTCTCCGGATCTTCAGCTCACGCCACAACACGTAATTCCCTCTGTGAGAAGTGAGTGATCCCTTTGGTGGGAACCAAGAGGGAGAGGAAGGGCTAGGGTCATGTGCAGAAACAAATGTCAGCTCCACCATGCGCCAGCCTAGCATGTCCCTGCACCTGAATGGCATATAAGATTGGAGAGTCCAGCGCGGGCCCACCATGAAATAGAGGCATCATGGTCCAGAGTGCTAAGGATGTGTCAATACAATTCCAGAAGTACCTCCCATGGCAAGGTACTACTCTGAGACAGACAGGCAACAGCATTTAAGCCTTGCCTTCCAAAGCTGATCCTGAGGAAGAGAGGTAACACTTTATCCAAACAGTGCCTGGTGCCACCTGGTTCTCACGGAGCACTGGGATTGGACTGCAAGGATACATTAAGTATTAAACATGAGCATGACTGACAGGTATTAAAACCCATGTTAGGTCGCCATGCATGCAAGTTGAACTGCAGCGTCCAGAATAAATACAAATGCGGGCTGATTCCCTGGAGCAAACTTTTTCCATTCCCAGTAAGACAAATACAATGTAATAACCACAAAATAAAAAGGCATAATCACAACTCAATCAGGCCCTTGATAACAGATACCCTCCACCTGAAGCTAATCCCAAGCCTTGGCCCACAGTTAAACATTAACAAGAACATCTATTTATTACATATTGATTTTATCTCAGGCTGAAAAGAGCTAAGGCAGCAAAATGCAATCTGATCGCCAGGCGCATGCAGGCCCTTGCAGGTGCTTGGCCGTCACGATGTATTTCCCCAATTTCCTCCATTCCCACACAGACACACCTGCTCACACTGCTGCCAACTACACCAGTGCCTCCCAACTTTGCTCCTGCTAAAGAAAGTCTTATGGATTAGCTTCAACCGTAGACAGAAAAAAATGCTGCACCAGATGTGAGAACTGCTTTTCTGATGCTGTATTTCCTTCCTAATATGCTATATCCATAGCTTAGGGACATGGCAAAAAAGGAAGTGGCCAGGTGTGGCGGGGAACACCTTTAATCCCAGCACTCTGGAGGCAGAGGCAGGTGGATCTCTCTCTGAGTTCCAGACTGCCTTGCCTGCAGAGTGAATTCCTAGATAGCCAGAGCTATGTAGAAAGTCCCTGTCTTAAAGAAAAAGAAAAGTGCTGACTATATATACATATTACACATGTTTATATTCATCTAAGTCATAACTATCATGCCCAGTTCTCTAAAGAATCTTCTCAAAAAATATTTTCTTTTTAAAAATTTCTTTTTATTCTATGTATATGACTTATCTGCATGTATGTACAGACACCAGGTGTATGCAGATGCCTGCAAAGCCAGAAGAGGTATCAGATCCCCTGGAGTTATAGATCGTTATGGGCTACCTGGGTGCTGGGAACTGAATCCAAGAATAGCCAATGCTCTTAACCTCTGAGTTCTCTCTCCAGACCTTTCCAAGAACCTTGTTCAGCTGAGTATCTCATTACCCAGACCTCTACCCACACTGTCCTCAGCACAGACTGTTCTGTGTCAAGCTGCAGCTGTCAGCACAGCTCACTGGGACCCGGATAAGCAAGCTTCCTTCTCTGGTCTCAAGAATGGCACTTCTGACAAGTGCCACTCACGGCAAAAGGGGGAAGGGAAGACGCTACAATGCAAAGTGTGTTTACAACCACGTGTCGGGCAGAATACGGCGAATGAGGGCCTGTGGATGTGGCAGCATACACCTTTAATCTCAGCATCCAGGCAGCAGAGGCAGGTCAACCAGGACTACATAGTGAGACCTAGTTTCAAAAAAAAGAAAATTAGGGCTGGAGAGATGGCTCAGAGGTTAAGAGCACTGACTGCTCTTCCAGAGGTCCTGAGTTCAACTCCCAGCAACCACATGGTGGCTCACAACCATCTGTAATGAGATCTGGTGCCCTCTTCTGGTCATACATGCTGTATACAAAATAAATAAATAAATCTTTAAAAAAAAAAAAAAAAAAAAAAACAGTTTAAAAAAAAAAAAAAAAAAAAAAAAAAGAAAATTAAAAAAGACCCAAGGGCAGTTACAATGGTCTGTGGAGTAGTTGCTCAGAATGCTATTCTCAATCATAAACATCTGCATATATTTGGGACTAAGACCTTTAAGCCAGAGAGTAAGACAGACAGACAGACAGACAAACACACAGACAGAAAAAAAGATGGACTGAATGAATCCAACATTGCTAATCCAAACATCTGAAATCCAATCTGGGCCACACTCTGAAAGTTTGTGAACACCAACATGGTGCCATAAATGGAAACTTCCATGCTGGCCTCACAGGTTAGATTAGAGTCTAAACTCGGCACAGCACAAATGCCATCAAAACTGCCTTCAGTTTCCATAAAAGTGGGTCTCGAGCCTGGGCCTGGGGCCTATCACCAAGACACCTCTGTCTATGCAAATATTCCCAGACTGGAAATACTTCTAGTCCTGAGCATTTCAGTAAGCGGCACTCACCGTGAAGACCACAGAACCTCAGCTGTCTCTAAACTATAAAGTACAAGTGGTTCTTAAATACCCCACGTAGCCCTAGAATGACCACTATTCAGCTAGGAATTCCCCCAGAAAGAAGCCCAAGACACCCCAGGAGTGACATCTGACACACTAAGTTAGGAACCAAAGCTCGAAAAGTGTTACAATGCGGTTCAAGACCCATATCAGCAAAGCCTGCAGCTTTGATTAACTGAACCCGTCACCAGACTCCAAGACGGATGCACAAGATCTCATTTTTCCTCTGTGGCACTTCCCAGGGTTTCCCAAAAGCCTGCAGGTTGGGAGTACGGCGGGAGACAGAGCTATGCTGGGGAGGCACTTCTGTGTGGGTTCTTACTGTTTTATTCTTTAGATAAGAAACAAACATCTGTAAATTAGTACAGTACTAAGATGCACTCATGCAATTGTAACAGATTTATCAGTTCATGTGTAACAAGTCATTCAAGAAAATGGTGATAAAAAAGTGAAAGTACCAGTGAGTTTTGTTTAGTGAACGGAGGAAAGGAAAGCACATTCATTCCATGTTTTACAGCCTTTTACAAGCTTGGGAACTGAACTGAGAGAGGTATGTAAAATGCATTACCATTTGGTGCGGTGGGAGGGGACCAGACGCCGTAGTACTTGGGCAGGTGTTTTCTCAGCTCCAGGAGAACAGCATCAGCACAGTCAGCAGCGTAAACCTGAACAGAGAGGGCAGTGCTCGTCAGGGTTCCGTGACCCCTCAGGGGGACCAGGTATAACAGATTGGTAATTCATCTGGCATGGCTTTGTAATAATAACCAGCCACTTACAGCACACCGGTGGTCCTGGTGATCCACGGAGAAGACTCTCCTGGTGATAAGTCCTGCCTGTCAATGTCTTTCAACTATCTGCCACTAATGTGAGTTGTACACAACTGACCCCAAATTCAAAGTAATTCTCGGGACACACGCAAGTAAATTCTGGTGGGTAGGGGGCAACTAGGCTAACTTTTTGCGCCATTTTTATTTGTATTATTATTATTTTTTTTTTTATTGAGACAGGGTTTCTCTGTGTAGTTTCGGTGCCTGTCCTGGATCTCACTCAGTAGACCAGGCTGGCCTCGAACTCACAGAGGCCCACCTGGCTCTGCCTCCCGTGTGCTGGGATTAAAGGCGTGCGCCACCACCGCCCGGCTTTATTTGTAATTTTTACATTAGTTCTTTAATGTGTGTGTGTGTGTGTGGAGTGGACAACTTAAGGACACCAATTCTTTCCTTCCACCATGTAGTGCTCAACCAAATTCAGGTTATCAGGCTTGGAGGCAAGCTCCGTTACTGGCTGAGCCATCTTACCAGTCCCCTTGAACCACCTGTAACACTTGCCTGGTTTTCTCACTAAATTAAATACTTTACATATTATCTACGAAACAAGTTTTATTCCTTTTAAACTCTGAGGGCCAGCTTTAATATATGTCTAAACAACACATGATTTTATGAGTGAGCATACCACACAGGTTAAAATGAAACTACAATAGACTTTTAAGAAATGTAGAAGATAGAATTTCATTTACCAGAAGCTGAACCTCATATCTAAGAGAAAGGGGAAAGGAAATAAATTATCATCTTTCTACCGGAAATTGACTGAGAAACACTGACTACCAAGTGAGCAAACCATGTTTCATCTGTGCAGTGTGGGCACACCACTCATGACCAGTAGTCACGCAGGGGCTAAACTGAAGACTGGAACACCGTGCTCTAATCCCAATCTTCAAGCCTCTCAGGAGTGAAGGAAGGAAATTTTCACTTCTCGGGAATCAGTCATTCACAGTGTGAGCTGTGAGCCACCACAATTCACCCGTGGGACCCAACCCCAGTGCCTCAGAGGTGAACACGTCTGGAGACGGCGTGCATGACCGTCGTGGTTAAAAACCAGGGTTTGTCATGCTGAGGGTGTTCTCAGGAAGCACATTAAGACACAGACCCCACAGAAGAAGACCTGAGGAGACAGCCCATGAGCAGGAGAGGGAGAGAGGCCTTCAGAAGAAACTCCTGACTGCACTCTGACCAGGAGGCTAAGAGTGAAGCACTTCGCTTCTGGATTTCAAGCCAAACAACTGTGTCCCTTTGTTATGGCGGCCCTAGCGAGTGAGCACACCACCTGACCTCCCACTCTTTGGGTTAGGTGAGGACTGTGTGGAAGAGCGTTCTCAGAGGGTCAGAGACAACACAGGACAGAACAGTGGGTAACAAACAAGAGAGGGAAAAGGAGCTCCCAGTGGGGTGGAGGCACCTTCCCTGCTCTCTTATCAGAGCCAGGAAAATCAATACAAGCCCAAACAGAACCAATTAGAGTTGGGTGTGGTGGTGGTGCACACCCGTAACCGCAGCGCTTGGGAGACTGAGGAAGGCGGCTGTGAGCAAATTCCTAAGCTATAGAATAAGACCCTTTCTCCAAACAGCAACGGGAGAAACACAGATATAAGCTGGGCCTCATCAAAATGCATGACTTCGTGTTTGCGAGGACGCTACCAAGACAGTGAGAAGAATGGCGGGGAACACCGACAAGCGGCTGTGTTTGATCAGGGCTTGTATCCACACCGTAAGGATGTAACTGAACGTTTTATAGACACTTCAACTGCAAAATGGGAGAAATATCTGAACAAGATTACCCGAGAGGACACACAGAAGCCAGCAAGCATGTGGGGGGAAAAGCGAACCTGTGGCTGGTGGAGCCCCGTGGTTAAAATGTTTTGAAGTTAAGAAATAGTTGGTGGTCACGGAACACTGTGAACACACGGAGAAAACATTCTGGGTCATATGATGAATGGGGTGTTAGGAATGAGCTCTTCTCCCACAGTGCAGACACACACTGAAGACTGGAAGAGGCAGAGCATGGAGGCACACGGCCCTGGGAAGGCTGAGGCAGGGGCACTGTGAGTCCTCGGCCAGCCTGTGATATACAGTCCAACCCCACCTCACAAGGCAAAACAAACACGACTCTAAGAAGCTGTAATAAAAACACTAACTTAGCATTTCTGAGAGCGACAAACTCTGTTAAGTGTTTTTCAAATTGTGGGTCACGACCAGTTGATTGAAATCAATGTAGTGACTCAGAATAAGAATCTCCAGGACGTGAAACAGAACAGAAAATACTAGGTTGCAGCAGAAACCCTGGAAGATAAACCGTTTTCCACAAAGCACGGAGCTCGTCTGTTACTCGGGGACCCGGAGCATGCTGTCAAACACGTTTCTCACTCTGAGTCACAGCAGAGAACTGAAGGGCCCGTAAAACAACAAAGCGCCCTGCGTCACTTACCATGGTATAAAATTCCAGCTCTCTCGGGCCCCGTGGCGGCGGCTGTAGCTGCTTCAGAACTGTACCATCTGGGTGTTGGAGTATGCCTGCACAACAGAAATCGGGCGATGGTCAATGCTTTGCTTATGGTACCCTGCTTCCCAGGGAGCATCTGTTCCTGACTGAAATAGCAGGTCAACCACTTCCATTAAGTATAAAGGTTTACTGTTACTTGTTGCAGAAGTTTTAACATTCAACTAACATTTTCAGTACTTGCTACAGAGAGAGACCAGCGCGCACTTAAGTGTTATTATCTTCAGTTCTTCTCCCTCAGGGAGTCTCTTAGGGGCCCCTGGATTTTCTAGAAACTTCTCAGTCATAGATTTTCTATGATATGTTATGATTAAATAAAGAAAACAAAAAGCAGTAACACAAATCCAGCTCATTTTTATAAACAGGAAAAAAATGTGTGTTTACAGAAGCCATATACGAATTTCATACTTGGCAAGGTTTTATAATTCTCTCATCTTCCCAGCTCAGATGTACTGTGCACAGCTGTGCAAGGTCCCAGAGTGGAGCGGTCAAGAATGCCTTTCTATAATCTGTCCATGCAACACAAGAGTCTTTTTCCAAGTCACCAGATGCACACCAACATTGGCACAATGTAAGTAACAGCACTCATTACGTGTTGAAATTTTAAATCTATCTGTTGGGATTTCACAGAACCATGACAATTGGGACAGAATTCTACTTAGAATTTTATAAGATACTCCACTTGTATCTATACTTTTTGGCACTTGATATGAACTTTTTTGTTGTTGTTTGCTTTTTTGCGGGGGTTTTTCAAGATAAGATTTCTCTGTGGAACAGTCCTGGCTGTCCTGGAACTCACTCCGTAGACCAGGCTGGCCTTGCACTCAGAGATCTTCCTGCCTCTGACTCCTGAGTGATGGGATTAAAGGAGTGTGCCTGCACACCGTGCTGTGACGTAAACTTTACAATGGCAAAAATGTATAATTTAAAGACAAAGCAGAAGTCTAAGATCTAAGCACCAGAAGGAAGGAGAGAGTAAGCTACAAGGGAGAGCTCGGCTCTTGAGAAGATTCGAGTACCACAGGATTAGTCTAATGTAACTGAAAACGGCTGGAGAGAAACCTGTTTCTGAAGATGGGAATTTAGGGCAAGCATGCCCTCTACTCCTGCAGCCAAGATCGGCATTAGCACAGATGCCTGGGTTGAAGCCCACAGGGAAAAACCGAGGCATTAACAGCCAGGAGAGCAGCACACCTGCCCCCGTGCCTCTCACAGCAGGTCTACACAATTGGGAGCTTCCCAGAGACATTTTATTTACAAGCAGCAATCAGGCAACTGTAGCCAGCTGTGTGGAGGAGCAGACTGGATCCAAGACTATATAACCCCACAGGAGCAGACCACTGGGTCCTACAAAATAACTAAGTTTTCATAATCCCAGTCCCAAGTGAGTAAAGCCAACAGAACTGTGGCATCTGAGACCAAAGCCACATCCCAACCAGCAAGCTCCACGCTGCTAGGACAACAGACAACAGCCCTTAACTAAGATGCAGCATGGTTCTCCTGAGCTCTGTGAAGAGGAGACAGGCCCTCCAGAGGAAAAAGCAAAACTGTTCACTCTGCTTTCCCGCATTCTGTGAGCAGGATGCCCTGTGTTCATTCAATAGCAAATTACGAGGCATAGTGAAGAAGGGGAAGAACAGTGCAGTCAACAGATGCTGACGCAAGACGGCCACATGATTATAATGAGGAAGCAAGTATGTTCAACAAAATCCCGTGTATGCTACAGAAACTGGAGAAAAGTGCAGAGACTAAGAGAACCCAAGGAAATTCCAGAACCGAAAAACACAGCACATGAGATGGGAATGATCTGGGAGGGTAAATCAAATTATCACAGAAGAAAAGAGCAAAATGAACTTTAAGAGAGGCCAACAGCTAGCCGGATACCAAGGAAGGCTGAGGAAGGACTGCCACAAGTTCAAGGCCAGCTGGAGTAACTGATCAAGACCCTGTCTCAAAACACAAGGGAAGTCAGATGTGGTGGCGCACTCCTTTAGTCCCAGCACTCGGGAGGCAGAGGCAGGCAGATCTCTGAGTTCTAAGCCAGCCTGGTCTACACAGCAGGTTCCAGGGCAGCCAGGGTTACAAAGGTCTCAAAAAAACAAAAACAAAAAACAGTAAGAGCCAGGCGGTGGTGGCGCACGTCTTTAATCCCAGCACTCGGGAGGCAGAGGCAGGCGCATCTCTGTGAGTTCTAGGCCAGTCTGGTTTACAGATCGAGATCCAGGACAGACACACCAAAACTATGCAGAGAAACCCTGTCTCAAAAAAACAATAATAATAATAAAAGGGAAAGGGACAGGCATGATGGCACATGCCTTTAAGCCCAGCTCTGAGTCCCAGACCAGCATCAAGTGTACCTAGGTAAGGGGCAGGAACATGTGAGGCTCCATCTCTGAGGCAGGGGTATACAAGGGGCAGACAGAGTAAAACAATAGCTGAGAGCAATCCTCTGGTGAGTCAGCTGCACCGGAAATGACACCTAAGAAGACCTGTTTCAAAGCCATGGGGCTCGGAGGTGACCAGTCAGCTGCAGCTGCTGTAACAAATACCTCGGAACCTTCCAACCTGAGATAAGCCAAGTACTTCTGGATTCCACTCCCGTGAAGCATCTAACACGCTCACGTTCTTAGAAAGCAGAATGGTGGCTGACAAAGGCTAGCAGCAAGGACAGGCAAGTGTTGAGCAGGTACGGAGTTTGCAAACACCCCAGAGTCTCAGACTGGGGCAGGAGACAGCCGGCTGCTATGTAGGTGCCGGGTTCAGCTCCCCGAACTCCATTAGGTGGCTCCCAATGTCTGCAGCTCCAGCTCCAGGGGACCTGATGCCCTCTTCCGCCTTCCACGGGCAACCGCACACACGTGGTGCAAACAAACTCTTTCAGGTACACATATACACATATGTAAAAATAATACACTAACAAATATTTTACAGATCACAGGCTGATGCTACTGTATGCGCTGATGGTAAATTCAATACTGATTTTCACCACAATAATCACTGTTGTAAGAGCTTAACATTTCAGAAATAAGCATTCAGAAAAATGGTAACTACATGTTCAAATTGCTGTGAAAGGAAACCAGGTACGGTGGCACATGCCTTTAATTCCAGTACTCTGAGGCAGAGGCAGGCACAGATTTCAAGTTCAAGGTCAGGCTGACCTAGCAAGCTCCAGAGTGAGACCCTTCCTGTTAAAAACAACAATAACAACAACAACCAGAACTGATTTATGTAGAAGGAGCATTCTAGGTGATTTCAATTTATATCTTTATGTTTTTCTTCCTTCCAGAAATTACTATCATAAACATCTATTAGGGTCTTGTGTGTGTGTGTGTGTGTGTGTGTGTGTGTGTGTGTCTGCATGTGTATGTGTCTGTATGCATATGTATGTATGTGTGTGTGTGTCTGCATGTGTATGTGTCTGCATGCATATGTATGTGCATGTGGTGGGGGGGTATGTGGATACCTAAAGAGTCCAGAAGAGAGCATCAGGTCCTCTGGAGCTGGAGTTACAGCAGATGTGGGTGCTGGGAAATCGATCTTAACCACTGAGCGATCCTCAAGGAAAGGAATCTTTTCATATTTAAGAAAGACATGTCATAATGACAAGGTCAGTTGATTATGATATAAAATTATAGATGTGTAACAGGGCTTAACGTGGCTTCAGGATACAGGGAGCAAAAATGACAAATTGAAACAATAAACAAATTCACAAAGACTTTCTGGTATTTGGCAGAGAAGGCATTGTAATGATATATAAAACCTGAACAGCAAAAAAATGGCCAATTTATATAGCAGAGAAGCTGTACCCAGCTCGCACCTTGTGACTACAGTCCCAGCTGAGGTAGAAAATCCCTGCACAGTCAAGGTCATCTGGAAGACAGGACAGGAGGAAGAACTACATCCAACAGAACACACAAGTCCTTCAAGCATAAACGCTCTATTTACCACGCCCCAAACCGACAAGGATTGGAATCCTGCAGAAGATACCCTCAAACCACAGCAGCAATAGCAAGACATGTGGGGAAATGCCAAATCATAGGAAGGAAACAGCCCTGCTGTAATTACACATGGATCAAACCACAGGAGATACGAAAAAGTACTCCAAGTGATAGCAAAAACACACTGTGTGCACAGCGCAACTCATAGTGAAAAGTGTAGTTGTAAATATTTCTGTCTGGGGCCGCTGGTGGATGGCCCGGTGGGCATGGGCATTGGCTGTCAAACCTACAGACCCGAGCACAATCCCTGTAAACCACATGGTGGAAGAGAGAACATTCCACAAGTTATCTGCTGACCTCCGCACGGGCACCCTGCCCATCTCCTACCACCTCCAAATAGATAAATGTAAAAAGAAGGCATTCAATATTTCTATCATTCAGGAAAAGGAGCCACACCTAATATGTTAGAGAAAGATGTACTAACTTCACATAAATACATATAAACAAAAAGCCAATTCAATAAAAACTGACACTGGGCATGGTGATCCCCCCGACCAACTCCCAAAGCAAGGAAAGAGGGTCAAGGGTTAAAGGCCAGCCTGGGAGATACAGTAAGAACATGTCTCAATAAATAATTTTTTCAAAGGACAACAGACAAAAACCAGTGAAATCAAGTAAGTGGTCTAGAAAACTGGTAAGCAACTTGCTGAACAGACCAAGAAAAAAGAAGGTAAATTATCGTTATCAGGAATAAATGAACATTCGAAGAGGAAGAGGTTCATGAGGTTACCATCGGCAAATGCCACCACTTCCATGAGACAGATTCTTTTAGATGCACATCATTAAAACTGACACAGGAAGAAACAAATCTAGGGGCCAGGGCTGAGGCAGGGGCTGCTGACAGAGATCCCCCTGCATGCGTGTAGCCCTGGGTTTAATCTTCAGCATTGCAAGAGAGTGGGTGGTGGTGGGGAGGAGAAAGACATCCAAATGGAGCCAAAATGGCCTCCTAGAGACTGTTCCCAACACAACAATATCAAACAAAAACAAAAATAGCAATAGTAATCTCATCAAAT